TCTTAATTCATCATCCTATGAGCTCTCCCTCTCCTCCTCTGACTCTGAGGAGCAGGACTACTCCACCTTCTCATCCACGGTCAAGCAAAAGAACCCATCAGTCACCACCCTCATCTCCATTGGGGGTGGAAACGCAGACTACTCAGTCTTTTCAACACTTGTCAGCAATTCTTCTCACAGAAAGACCTTCATTGATTCTTCAATAAAGATTGCGAGGCTTTATGGTTTCCAAGGCCTAGACCTTTGCTGGGTTTCACCTAACACAAGCTCGGACATGACCAACATGGGAAATTTGTTTCAAGAGTGGCGAGCTGCTGTCAAATCTGAGGCTGCAAACTCTAGCCAGGCGCAGCTGATTTTGACAGCAGCCGTTCAATACAAACCAGATTTGGAGTCCTTTTCTTTTCCGGTTGAATCCATTCGGAACAACTTGAATTGGGTACATGTACTGGCCTATAACTATTATCGGCCTCAGCGGACTAATTTCACCGGCGCTCATGCAGCTCTGTATGATCCATCAAGTGATGCTAGCACAGATTATGGTATCAAGGCATGGATTGGTAAGGGATTACCTGCTTCCAAATTGGTTTTGGGCTTGCCTTTCTATGGCTATGCTTGGAAACTTGTGAATCCTAGGGACAATGGTATTGGTGCACCAGCAACAGGTCCAGCCATTAGAGGGGATGGATCCATGAGCTACAAGAATATCAAGCGTTACATTCAGAGATATGGGGCTGACATAATCTACAATGCTACGTATGTAGTTAAGTACTGCATAATTGGATCATCCTGGATTGGTTTTGATGATGCTCAAGTTGTCAAAATAAAAGTTTCTTATGCTAAGGAGCAGAGTTTGCTTGGATTCTTTGTGTGGGAGGTTTCTTATGATGACAATTGGGTGCTTTCTCTTTCAGCTGCCGGTAGGAATTGAATCTCAATATTTATGCATAGTACTCTACTTGATGAACTCATTTTCTCTGCATATTCCACCGTGACAATTTAATTTCATTACCCCCATCCCATCTAAAGAAATCAGATTGGTTATTGTTGATTGGTCACTTTACAAAACAGAAAGTCTGTTAATGCAATACTTTAGTGTCTATTAAAGTTTGTTGTAAATAAAAGTCAGAAATTAAAGTATGAGCTGATATTGAAAAGAGAAAATATGATTCGCGGTCAAAATTGCATTGCCCTCTCAGCCATTTAGCAGTCAAGACAGGAGAATAAAATAATTGGTTTCTGTTGAAAATGAAATGAAGATGACCACTATAATTCTTTACTGCAAACTAATGAACAAGATACCCATATAAGTCACTGTCCAATAAAAGACTTGGAGTTTTACGTTGGAAAATTCAACCATCGCCTTATTTATATTGCCCCTGTAATGAAGGTTAGCTCACAACTTATTTATATCTTATTGTTGCTGCCATAGAAAGTCCCATGCTACAGTCAGCTGACAACTTCCAAGATCTTTAATGCATTCTTCCCTAACTGTTACATTGAATTATATATGCTGATCACAGGTACAGCTCAAGAGCGTGCAAGCAGTGGACAAAAAAAGCGGCGACTTCTTATAATCATTTTGACTACAACAGCTTCAGTTATTCTCATATTAGGCTCCATCATGTGTTACTTCCGCATGAGAATGCTCAAGTCAAAAGGTATATAGCTTTATTCGTTTTTTTTGTTCGGCCTGACAGTATTGAAGCATTAACTATTCACCTCTTTGAATATGTATTTTGGATTTATGTATTATCTATAACTCTTTTTTTGAACGAACGTATTATCTATAACAGAATCCAGGGCAAATTATATAGCAGACACAGCTGGAACTTTTAATAGCAATGTACCTAATCTGCAAGTCTTTGGCATTGCTGTCATTGAGGCGGCAACAGATGGATTTTCAATTGAAAATAAGCTTGGAGAGGGTGGTTATGGTCCAGTTTATAAGGTAAACTTTTATAATGGGGCATATCATGGCACCAGCTTGTCCCCATTAAACATGCTAACCATGAGTGTCTACATAACTTGCTAGGGTGTATTGCCAAATGGACAAGAAATAGCTGTGAAAAAACTTTCAAAAGCTTCAACTCAAGGATTCGAGGAATTCAAGAATGAGGTCATGCTTACAGCAAAACTACAACACGTTAATCTTGTCAGGGTTTTGGGATTCTGCATCGAACACCATGAACAAATGCTGATTTATGATTACATGCCAAAGAAAAGCTTGGACCTCTACCTCTTTGGTAAGTCAATATGAGATTTCGCGGCTTTCGTGCAAAAGATGACAATCCACTAGTTCCTGGTGGTTTCACTTCCTTGTGCCACACAGCTTTAAGCTGAACATAGTGTAAGCTTGTAAGGGATGGCCTATGGTGTTTCTACTATTCCATGCATTTTTTAGTATATTTCAATGCAGAACTGATTGGACAGCATCTGTTTCAATGTAGATCCTATCAGAAGGTATCAACTAGATTGGAAAAAGCGTGTTATCATTATTGAAGGGGTTACTCAGGGACTTCTTTATCTCCAAGAATACTCAAGATTGACAATAATCCATCGAGATCTGAAAGCTAGCAACATTTTACTTGACGAGGAGATGAGGCCTAAGATCTCAGATTTTGGTATGGCCAGAATTTTCACAAAAGATGAACAAGAAGCAAACACAAGCCGGATCGTTGGAACATAGTAACTCTATTTCCTAATAAAGCTACTTTTTTTAATTGAGCTTTCTATTATTGGATACTTTGGTAAGTAATCTTCTAAATCAATCTGTGCAGTGGCTATGTACCTCCTGAATATGTTAAAAAGGGTCAATATTCCACGAAATTAGATGTTTATAGCTTTGGAGTTCTCCTTGTACAGATCATAAGTGGCAAGAAGAATGCTGCTTCCTATGGTCCAAATGAAGACTTAAACCTTCTAGAATATGTAAGTTACTTCAATAAGCACAGTTACATCAGAATTAATATTTGCTTCAGCTTTGCTAAGAATTAAATCTTCACGTTTCAATTACATGGTGGGGAACATTCAATAATTTCAGGCATATGAACTTTGGAAAGAAGGCAAAGGGATGGAGTTTATGGATCCTTCACTTGATGATACACATTCATTATGTAAATTGATGAGATGCTTGCAGATTGCTCTCCTATGTGTTCAAGAAAATGCAAATGATAGGCCTTCCATGCTGGAAATTTCTTCGATGCTACAGAGTGAAAGTGCTGTAATGGGAAAACCGAAAATGCCAGCTTTTTCAAAAAGAAATGAAGACAAAGAAACTAATCCTGCACCGCGGCTAGAAGTGTGTTCCATTGATGATTCAACAATCTCAGAGGTTGTAGCCCGATGAGTGGTGGTATATGCTCAGTGCTTTGTAAAGCAAAGTTCAATCAGATTTTCAATTCTTTTTCCTTTTACTCTTAGGCATAACAGCTCTGCCACTAGTCAAACTATTCTTAGAATTTATTAGTCATGTATTTCCTAGTAAGTTCATTAGGTGTATATTACATTGCAGTCTACTTACTACAAAGTTGGTAAGGGGAAGAGGTCCCTCAGGGTTCACACTACAATGTTGCAGAATTTGGAATTATGAGTTTGGGGTGGTTCTGTTCTGTTCATCTATGAGTCTACCAATGGAAGGTTATTATGTCCTGCGAGTTTTACTGATGTTTCTTTATCTACCAATGTAATTGTTTACAAATGTAACCTGATTATGAAGAATAAGATACCCATAAAACCCGTCACCATCCAATACGAAAACTTGGACTTTTGTGTGGAAAATTCATTTATATTTCCCCTGCAGTAGAAGGTTGGCAGCTCAATGTCAATACTAGAAAACAATGAGCTCACTCACACAACTTTATTATTATTAACAAAAGGAACACACGCACACAGACAAACATCTTACTACAAACTTTACAAAGCGAGAGCTCCAGGCTAGCAGTAATAATATACTTATATAGTCTTCCGAATATTATGATTTTCGTCTTTATTGTTAAGATCAATATATTTTGAAGCTTTTGAGATTGGTCTTACCTTGCAGTTCCAATTTGTTTTCATTATTGTTATTTGTTTCTTTGTTTTCAGGGCTCACCTTCAAATACAGAGTTTGTTTCATTTACTTATTTATGAAGGTACAAAGTCTTTGCCTATAAGGCATAGTAAAGAGCCCTTGGCCAAGAAGTCCCTTGCTCGGCCAAATAATCTTTAGATAATAAATCATTTTTTTCATTTTATAATTGTTGTTTATGAGATTTAAATTAGAAGATTGGGTGCCATTAGATCATCAAATGGTGACGCCCGCATTCACGTATTTAAAAAAGGACAACATGCTTTGCCCTCACTCGATCTTGGCCGAATGATTTTGGGTGAGCATAAGTAGAGCTAGGAAAGTCAGGCCAAAGAATTAATATAAATCAAGGAAAGCAGTTAACTAGTTATATTCATCATATGCATAAAATTTTATGATGACTTGTTTATTCTTGCTTGTCAGATTTCACTAAAAAAAACTTGTAATAATGTAAGCTTATCGCACAACGAATGTGATTGATGAACTCTGACAAAAAAAAAAATTGTAATTGATGGAGACTTATTTCCCTAAATTACAAGAACCCAACTTTCAAGCTAAGTATATAATATAAAGAAAAGTAACTAGCTAGTTGTTTTCATGAATAAATTTCTATAAATCATAAACATCTGTTCAATTGACTTGTTCTTCTATTAGGACATCTAGTTAAAAGAGATCAAATAATGAATGCAAACTCTTGATGATGATGCTTTTTTTTTTGTTCATGTTTTAGAAAATCCAAGTGACATATTGTTATAATATATATTCAATTTCGAAATTTATTCTTTATAAAATCTTCATTGCCGATGCATACCAGCCACGCAAATCAGACGTGTATACATAATTATTTATGAAAAAAATCTGAAAATACATAGCCTTTAACTACTCTATAAATATCATTTTGGTTCATTTGGTATATGCATCCCTCAAAAGATATACATAAGCATGGGCACCCAAACAGTGGCCAAAATTCCAGTGGTAGATTTCTCCGACGAAGACTGCTTAAAGCCGGGGACGAGTTCTTGGCTCTCTATAAGCAAAAGCATCTGCCATGCACTTGAAGAGCTAGGCTGTTTCGTCGCAATACTGCCCGGCAAAGTTTCTCCGGAGCTTCACAACACCTTCTTTGGTACGTTGGGCGAGTTGTTTGATTTCCCCACTGAAATCAAAGTGCAATGTTCTTTTGAAAAGCCCTACCCCAGTGGCTACATAACCTCAAATGCCGCCAGCGAAGGCTTGGGGATTGGCTATGCTACAAACCCTGAAGACACTCGGAGATTCACACATCATTTTTGGCCCGAGGGACATGATTCATTTCGGTATAATTTAGTACTAAATTGACATAAAACATTTGAAAATATGATCATATTTAGCTCAACCTTTTGCAGTGTGACTTAGATTTTGAACATTCAAAGTATTTGTTGTTTGTTGGGCAGTGAGGGTGCTGATTGGTATGCAAAAGTGATGGAAGAGCTAGATCAAGTTGTGACAAGAATGGTGTTCGAAAACTATGGTGTAGAGAAGTACCATGATGATCACATCCAATCCATCGTTCACACGTACCGATTTAATCAATACAAAGAATTTGACAAAACTGGAATTGATGAGGGTCTACCCGCCCATACAGACAAGACCTTTAGTACCATACTCTATCAAAATCATGTCAAAGGTCTGGAAATATATTCAAAGGACAATGAGTGGATAGGTGTTGATCCTCTACCTTCATCCGCAGGTGATGGATTCCAGGTATGGCACGAAAAACTACATATAATGTGTGTTGAGTATGTTAATAACTTCAATTTTTCTTTGAATCACATGTTACGCACGTGCGTATTAAACCTTAGCCGGAATATTTGTATGACTTGGCCTAGGTTTGGAGCAACGACAGAGTACGAGCTTGTAAGCATCGAGTGACCTTGAGGGAGAATGATGTACGATACTCGTTTGGACTATTTTCATACAGAGAAGGAGAAACACACGTACCCAAGGAGCTTGTGGACAAAGACCCCCCCCTACAGTACAAGGCATTGCATCAGTTCGAATATTTACAATATTTTAAAAAGAATTACTCCACCCTTGGACCTTTGTATTCCATCAAGGAATATTGTGGTGTTTGATATATTTCTCTGCTCCAAAGGCTCCGAGCCGACATTTATCTCTCTCTTAGTTTTTGGTTTTTGTTAATTTGCAATGTATTTTTCTTTGCTTTTTTAGTATTTGTTTCGTTAATTTCTCGTTTGAGATATGAAGTTTATTTGTGTTAATGTTGAGAAGCATATTTTGGATTCCTTATTACCGAGACCTAGGGACAATTTCTGGTTTGGATTCCATATTACATTATCATTCAACACATCCAAATTAACTATAAAGTTCAACTATTCAAAATTCCATCAATATGAAATCCCAGAAATGATTAGAAAGAATTAGATATTCCCCGTGCGAAAATTTGCTCAAACAACAATTCTTGACTACGTTGTGACCCCCCTTTGTGTCTCATCATCTTTGTCTCATGACGTTCTATTTGATATTGTACCACTTGACAACAAAGAGGGAGATACCAGCTGAGTCAAAAGAGGGAGCTCCTTAATGAATATAAATTTTATAATATAAAACAAAGCCCATGATAAAAAGGAGACAAGAAAAATCTATGGCCAGCTATTGCTATAGTAAAAGAAATACTATTTTAGTCTCTCAATCATGAAGCAAGATGGGAATAAACAGAGGGCAGCAGCTGAATGGAAAGCCACTCACCAAAAAAAAAAGCCACTCACGTGAAGGCAAGAGTAGCTGAACGTTATTAAAGAAAGAGACAAGGAGAAGCGGGAGAGAAACCGGAAAAGAGGGGGAGAGACTGAGAAACGGGAGAAAGGGAAGAAGCAAGCAAGGAGGAAGCTCTTCCACCATTGAAGGCCCTTATGCCTTCTTGTTCATCCAAAATCTGTAAGCTCTATCTTAATCATGTTTCTAGTTGTATTTGTATTTAGTATGAGCAACTATTCCTCTTAGCTAACGCCTAGGATGGTTAGGGTTGATTCCAAGTGCCCTAGTATTTGTTACCTTAATTTACATCTCGTGGTTTGCGCTTATTAATCCTCCTTAATTTGCATTTCTTTTCATAGTTGTCTTGAGAATTTAGTTACAAAAGCCTAAAACCAGAACCCCCTTTTTGTGTTTGTTGTTACTTCTTTATTTATTGTTCTTTACTTGTTCAAATTAGAATTGCATTTAAATTATCAAGTCCTTATGGGATCAACATCATAATTATAAATCTATACCTAAGGAATTCGTGTACTTGCGAGTAATTATAATTTGGGTAATTAGCGTAGTTTAATTTATGTAATTTGCATTTTTTTAAAAAAAAAAAAAGTAATTTGCACTATTTATTTACACAACAGGTTTTTGGCACTGTCCAGGGATATTTTTATTTTATTTACATCTCTAGTTTGAGTTAGTTTAGAGAAGAGTCAGTCATTGAACTATATTCTAATTAGTATTGTAAGCTTTATCTTGTTATTTATTTTACCTTTTAAACTAATTTTGATTTCTTTTCTTATTGAAGGATTAATTCGCCTATGTACAATCCAAACTCAAGTTTTTCTGATGATGTGAGGCTATCCGACATCCAAGAGTATTTGTCAAGAGGAGAACAAGAAACGACAACTCTAAGAAGCTTTGCATAACCACTTCCTCCGTCATTATCACCAGAAACTTCAAGACCGAATTCATCAAAGGTTGAGACGCCTCTACCTTTACTATAATGGCTGAGCGTGCTAATTTGGAACCTTCTTTGAGGGACCTTGTGGTACTGCAAGCAACCGTCCAACCATCATGCATAATTCATTCAGAAAATACATTGGTCAACTCAAACTTTGAGTTGAATCCAAAAGTGATTCGCTCATTGCCCAAGTTCTTCGGCAACCATGAAGATGATCCTCATATGCATATCAAAGAGTTCTTTGAAGTCTGCTCATTCATGAAAATTGAAGTAATGAATGATGAGGAAATAAGAATGAGACTTTTCCCTTTCAGTTTGAAAGATAGCGCAAAGGCGTGGTTTGATTCCTTGCCACCCAACTCTATCACAACTTGGGCAACCCTTACTTCAAGATTTCTACAGAAATTCTTTCCAGCTCAAAGAACAAGAAAAATCGGGATAGAGATTGTGGAGATTCAACAATTAGATGGAGAACCCTTTCACGAGTATTGGGAGAGATACAAAAAACTTCTAAATTCTTGTCCAAATCATAACATCCCAGAATGGCTCTTAATGCACTGCTTTTATAAAGGCCTTCTTGATTTAGACCGTACGATTGTTGATGCAACTTCAGGAGGTAGTCTCATGAACAAGACTGTTGAGCAAGCTAGAGAAACGTTCGAGAATGTTTCTAATAATTCTCTACACAAGTATTGTGGGGATTCAAGAAGAAAAATCAGGAAAGAGATTATGGAGATTCAACAATTAGATGGAGAACCCTTCCACGAGTATTGGGAGAGATACAAAAAACTTCTAAATTCTGATCTAGATCATAGCATCCCAAAATGGCTCTTAATGCAATGCTTTTATGAAGGCCTTCTCTATTCAGACCGTATGATGGTTGATGCAACTTCAGAAGGCAGTTTCACGGACAAGACTCCTAAGCAAGCTAGAGAAAAGTTCGAGAATGTTTCTAATAATTCTCTACACAAGTATTGTGTGGATTCAAAGAGAAAAATCAAGAAAGAGATTTTGGAGATTCAACAATTAGATGGAGAACCCTTCCACGAGTATTGGGAGAGATACAAAAAGCTTCTAAATTCTTATCCAGATCATAACATCCCAGAATGGCACTTAATGCACACCTTTTATGAAGGCCTTCTCTATTCAGACCGTATGATGGTTAATGCAACTTCAGGAGGCAGTCTCATGGACAAGACTCCTAAGCAAGCTAGAGAAACGTTCGAGAATGTTTCTAATAATTCTCTACACAAGTATTGTGTGGATTCAAAGAGAAAAATCAAGAAAGAGATTTTGGAGATTCAACAATTAGATGGAGAACCCTTCCACGAGTATTGGGAGAGATACAAAAAACTTCTAAATTCTTATCCAGATCATAACATCCCAGAATGGCACTTAATGCACACTTTTTATGAAGGCCTTCTCTATTCAGACCGTATGATGGTTAATGCAACTTCAGGAGGCAGTCTCATGGACGAGACTCCTAAGCAAGCTAGAGAAACGTTTGAGAAATTTTCTAATAATTCTCTACAGTTCAACTATAGAAGGCCTCCACCTAAGAAATCTGGAGTTTATGAGGTAAGTACATCTTCACATTTGGAGGCTCAAATTACTAATTTGACTAATTTGGTGAAACAAATGATGCAAGTATCATCCAATGTGTGTGCCATTTGCACTACACCAAGTCATGTAAATGAAGCTTGTCCTCAAGGTGCAGAACAACAGTCTTTTAATGATTTCATGATGGAGCAAGCCTACGTTGTTGGACCATATCAAAACAATCAAAGGACCATATCAGATGGAGCGACAACCAGAATGTTCAACAGGTGTTGGAAATCACAATCAACGTCAATCAAAGCTTGATTTGTGGATCAAATCTCAGTGAATAAATCAAATTGTAATTGCTGTAATTAGTCCTAAAGTTTTGATGTTTGTCTGTCAGTTTACCTCTTTTAGACTAGACATATTCCTTTATAACCAATGTATACGAGTTGTACAGAAATACAAGAAAATACAGAAACCTTTCTCATTCTTTTCTCTCCATTATCAGTTTCTTTAACAGGGGCTAGCTCAACCATACCATCAACAAAATCATCAACCTCACGGTCAAGCTCAACCGTATCAAGGTCAGAATCCTACTCGTTCGCATTATGGTCAATCTCAACAATACAATCGGGCCGGCCCAAGCCAATCTCACCAGTAACCTTATGATTTCAATATTTCGCATGCTCATTTTCCTCACAGCGATCAAGAACTTCAAGAAAGATCAACATCTCAAAGAAAAGTATAGTCCGCCCGCCAATGAGGCCAATATTTGTCATTTCGACAAATTCAAAACAAGTATAGTGCTAATTTTTCAAAGTGAGAAAGAGGATATTTGACCTGAACTAATACTTTTTTTAATCTCAATTATCAATATTGTTTTGTATTGTTGTAATCTCAATGATCAATATTGTTTTGTATTGTTTCATGCATATTAAATCTTAGCCGGCATATTTGTGTGGTTTTATTACTTGGCCTAGGTTTGGAGAAATGATAGAATTCGAGCTTGAAACATAATTAACTCATATTTGTTGGTTTTACGATTTTTTTGTTTTCTACCTCTTCCGTCGGTTTTCGGTGGCACTTCTGGAGTTGTGGATGCTTTTAAAGTGCTTTTTGCACTCCTTGCTTGGATTATGGTAGCGCTCTTTGTAGTTTGGGTGGCTTGTCCACTACCATTTTCTGTATGTCCCTTTGGTTACCAGTTTCTCTTCGATGGCCATGGTCCTGTTCTGGTGTCGCAGCTGGTTGGTTTTGAGTGGTGCAGCAGGTCTATTTCCCTTGCCTTCGGATTTCCTTAGTCTGTTTTAGTTTATGTTGCTTTTTGCGTTGTTTTGTGTCTTTTGTCTGTAGGGGTGCTCTTGACTCTTTGAAGGTTCATGACTGTAGTAGGCGTTTTGTCTTATCTTGTTGTATTTGGTTGAGCTCTTTTCTTGAGTTCTTGCTTTGTGTTACTGGATTTTGCCTCCTATTTTAATGAAATAGGATCTTGGCTAGATCGATTAACATGGATCTAGGCTCTAGCTAGCCTGATATGGGAAGATCTGGCCGGAATATCAAGCTCTTGGAAACTAAACAATTTAAATAGGATCTTGGAAACTAAACAATTTTTCTACATACAAATCAACTTTTTGAATGAATATCAAGCTCTAATTGAATCGATGATCCACCAGAAAACTAACTTGAGATGCTAACTTGCAATACTAACTCTCTAACTAGTTTTTAGTAAATCATTGACCGGCAAGAGTTCACCTCCAACTATACTAATTCAAAGACAACCAGTGTTCTTTGCATATGATAACTCTGTACCTGTACTATATGAAGGTCTGACGGAGTCCTTAGTGAATTTCAACCAATGGGTCAAAATTCCTAATGAAGGTTCATGAGTCTCATCACCGATTCATCATCATCTTCGAGCACTAAGTCTATAAATAGAGGCAGAATTGTTCAAGGAAAGGGATTCTATCTCCAACAATAGACTTCAAACTCGATCAAACCATTGATCTCAAATTGAACTCTCAATTTAATTACCCTCACTCTCAAGATAATCCAGTTGACAACTCCTGTGATCATCTTCTTTATGGTGCGTTTGGATGAGGGAAATAAACTTGTGATTTTGACAAAACTCAAAATTTCTAAATTGACAAGAACCAATTCCTGTGTTTGGATAAAAAAAACATAGAAATTTAGAAATTCCGCGTGGAAAAAAAATGGAATTTGGAGATCATAAATCCCAACTTTAAATTCTATCTAAAAGTCATCATTTCTAAAATCCCAAGAGATTGAATTTTAAAAAAAGACAACTTTACAAATAAAGGTTAAATTCCGTGTTTTAAATCCATCACCCAAACAAGAAACTTTACAAATTCTAGAACATTAATTTCCGTCATTTATGAAATCCTTTGTACTTTTAAATTTCCTCATCCAAACGCACTGTTATTGCTCTGCAAAATTCTTGGTATGAATTATTAGTAAAAAGGCCAGCACCTTAAAGGGCAGGCCCGAATTAGGATGTCTTACCCTGAAACAGGATTTTCCCAAGCCTAATCAAGGGTTTTTCTTAGTCCAAGTCATATTTTTGGGCCCAAATTCAATTCCATTAAGCCCAAAATCAAGGTTTTGGAGCTCAAATCTAGGATTCATTGATCACAAATTTTGTTTTTATGTTGGGCTATGTACCTCATGTATCTACCCCACCATCTACGCACGAATAAAAGAATGTTGAAATCCTCTTAGTTGAGGCAAAGTAAAAAACCTATCTGAGTCAGTATCCCTCTTGGAACACAATGGCTTGATTATGAGTAAAGAACGGCGCAAATTCATCACACAACACATACAACACAAATATCCATTATTTCTGTAGGGTTGCAGACAGTCAATTTCAATAATGGCATGCCTACGCAAAACATCTTGATCGGGCCCGTTTCTCACATTCAAGCCTGATCCAACTTTCAATTGGATTAATTGAGAGTTCAGTCGCTGCCAAGAAGCGAACAGTGCCTGCAAACAGTCATTTGGGGCATTGTTGTTGCACAGTCTGGACTCCTGCAGAAAACATGTATCTACCCCACCATCTACGCACGAATAAAAGAATGTTGAAATCCTCTTAGTTGAGGCAAAGTAAAAAACCTATCTGAATCAGTATCCCTCTTGGAACACAATGGCTTGATTATGAGTAAAGAACGGCGCAAATTCATCACACAACACATACAGCACAAATATCCATTATTTCTGTAGGGTTGCAGACAGTCTATCTAAAAGTCATCATTTCTAAAATCCCAAGAGATTGAATTTTAAAAAAAGACAACTTTACAAATAAAGGTTAAATTCCGTGTTTTAAATCCATCACCCAAACAAGAAACTTTACAAATTCTAGAACATTAATTTCCGTCATTTATGAAATCCTTTGTACTTTTAAATTTCCTCATCCAAACGCACTGTTATTGCTCTGCAAAATTCTTGGTATGAATTATTAGTAAAAAGGCCAGCACCTTAAAGGGCAGGCCCGAATTAGGATGTCTTACCCTGAAACAGGATTTTCCCAAGCCTAATCAAGGGTTTTTCTTAGTCCAAGTCATATTTTTGGGCCCAAATTCAATTCCATTAAGCCCAAAATCAAGGTTTTGGAGCTCAAATCTAGGATTCATTGATCACAAATTTTGTTTTTATGTTGGGCTATGTACCTCATGTATCTACCCCACCATCTACGCACGAATAAAAGAATGTTGAAATCCTCTTAGTTGAGGCAAAGTAAAAAACCTATCTGAATCAGTATCCCTCTTGGAACACAATGGCTTGATTATGAGTAAAGAACGGCGCAAATTCATCACACAACACATACAGCACAAATATCCATTATTTCTGTAGGGTTGCAGACAGTCAATTTCAATAATGGCATGCCTACGCAAAACATCTTGATCGGGCCCGTTTCTCACATTCAAGCCTGATCCAACTTTCAATTGGATTAATTGAGAGTTCAGTCGCTGCCAAGAAGCGAACAGTGCCTGCAAACAGTCATTTGGGGCATTGTTGTTGCACAGTCTGGACTCCTGCAGAAAAAGACCATCAACAATTTCCAAATCAGTTGTCTAAATAATCATTAAGAAAGAAAAATAAGTTGCTACACCTACATACATGCGATGAATTTTTGGCTTACAATATCTTCTGTGATAAGGTTAAGAAATAATGTAAAAGGTGAGGAGTTCAACGCATGACATGGTCGCCATTGGCCAATAAGCTTAATTACATTCATCACTCTTTTATGAAATATAGTAATTTTAAGAACTAAAGATTTTTTTGTTGTTGCCAAAATTATAAAAAGGAGCGGGGAAACTTACACACACAGGTACCATATTATCTAGGAAATGTAGCAAATGAAAGAAACTTCAACTAGATGGAGATTTTCATCGGTTGAATTAATGCTTGGTATAATTATTCTTCAATAACAAGTGCATAGACTTTGTAAAATGAAAGTAGTTAATTAAACTTGGACCTTGAGCTTTCTAATTACTATTTTTTGTGTGGAGTGATTTATCCAAATCAAACTATATTATTCCTTCAGTCAGAATATACGTATCTGTTGGGGACTATCCCCCATGTCTTCAAGGTTTTTCATTTTTTATTTTTTAATTATTTTTTTTTAAAGAGATATATTGGGGAAGGCAAATCGAACTTACGACCTTGAATGTAGGGGTAAATGTTCTTAATCACTTAAGCTACAAGCCCTTGCGCATGTCTTCAAATTTTATAGGGTGTGGTGGTTGCTAAAGGATTGCATTAAGGTTTCCATAATATCATACCTTATAGAACAAGATCATATACGTACTAGGTCAATATTTATGCTTGATCACTCCTTACCAAGGATCTGACCTACTTCCTGGATCAGGGAACCATATAGATCATGCAAAGATAATAAATTACCTCATGCTTAAGCCAACCTTAGCAAAGCCATACTATAAACCGCCACTAAATCGAAAAAAAAATTATCGTTTAAAAGCGAGATTACCGTACGTTGAAGATTAAGTGTCCCTTTATGAATGTGTTACCGTTGAAGACTAAGTGTCCCTTTATGAAGGTGTGAAATAGATATTACCGTTGGAGGAGTGAGCAAAGCTTTTGTGTATACAAGAGGTTGGAGTAGGTTTGTGAAAGAAAACATTTTGAAGGCAAAAGATGTTTGGTCCAGGAGCAGGTCAATGAGTGTAAGGATTTGCATGCACAAGTAAAATTGGAACCAAATTTTGGGGAAGGTGGCCAGCCAAAGAAATATGCATCAAAAGGGTTCTAAAGTCTATATATAAATAGATTAATTTACTAATTTATGTAGTTCGCTAGTTTTGATCCTTTTTTTTTCCTTCTAAAATTGAGATATAAATAGATTAGTATATCCAAATTAACAACAGCATCCGGTGTAGCTCATTAAATTATCTAAGGTTGAGATCCCAGGTTCAACTCCTGGCACCGGAATTATCTTTTTAGCTTATTCTACTAATTTCTACAATTTGGCTCTTTTCTCTCTTATATTTTTTTCCTTGGGATTAGCTACAAAATTAGTCACTATATTATCTGCCAATTTTAAATTTATATTTATAATACAAAATTAATTACTAGTTTTACTGGCACTTGGATTTGCGTTATCCAAGTTTTAAAATTCACTGTTTTCCATTTTTCCTTTTTATTAGCTGGAAAATCACCATATTAGCAACAAGGCTAATCTGTACCAAGATTATTCTTATTATTTTTCATTTTTATGGAAGATTGTCTTTGTTAAGTTGTTTAAAGTGGATGTGCTCTTTATTTTGTACCCGAGTTCAAATGACACACCCCGTAATTTAGATTAAATTAAAGTACAATATCTTTTGTATCAAAATAATAGAAGAGGATGAAATAAATGTACATGGAGCCTTGGTAGCATCAGAAGAGTAAAATTGGAAACCAAAACATCAACATAAGCAGCAAGTCAATTAAAATTACATATCTCATTCCAGCTCAAAACATAATAACATTCAAGGTAGTATTGCAACTTAAATAATCCACAAAGCAGGACCGCAAAATTAAAGAAAATAGAATCCTCTAAGCTGAAAAGAGTCAAACTGCTTAACTGATTTAACTAAGGGCTTTGGGAATGCTTTTGAAAGGGCTAAAAGCGCTTAATGATAACTTTTGACGGAAAAATGTTAAAGTGTTTATGAGTCATAGAAGCGTTTTTTGGAGAAAACATATGCTATGTGCTTCTTCAAGAAGCACTCCCAGAATTATTTTTTTAGCTTAATTTACTAACTTCTACAATTTGGCTCTTTTGTCTCTTATATTGTTTCCTTGTGATTTAGCTACAAAATTAATCATTATAT